TTGGGAACCTGGACTTGCCGAAACCTAGGATCCAAAGACCTCTTGTCTTTAAAATACCTCCAACCCAGCATGCCCCCCCCACCCCGCCCTCATTTGGTGTACATTGTACTTGGCATAAAATAGTTGTGAACCCACCCTCCACCTTATTTTCCATTTTGGTAGTAGTGTATTTATATAAGTTTACAAGTACATTAGCACCCGTGATATTCCAGAATACTCAATAATGTCACTTTGAATATACCGATAGATGACTGTGCATATTCCTATAATTTATGTTGCATAGTAAGGTAATTTCTTGTCCCCTTTTTGTGACTAGAGCGGCATGATGCACTTTATGTTGTGGGTGCATTGGATGAAGCCATGGAATTGCGAGGGATGCGGTATCATCCCATTGACATTGAGACCTCAGTAATTAGAGCACACAAGAGCATCACGGAATGGTAAGTGGTGTGACGCCCTGAGTTTGTCATGAGATTTATCTGTGGCTTTGCTTGGCTAGTGCAGTCAATTCAGGAAAGGTTGTGTCAGTAAGTTCATAGAATTTGTAACTCCATCCTAAATAATAGCCTGGAACCTGGCATAAACACTTTTAAGCAGGGCAAACTTTCCTTCTGCTTTAAATTACATACAACATGGTTTATGTTTTTTTTAAAAATGATGTGAGAGGGATAAAGCATTTTATTTAAGGAGAGGACGAAGTTGCCCTCGAGGAACTTTGGTAATTTAGCTTATTCCTCCTAGTTCTGGTCCTGTGTGGCAATCAGAAGGGAACAAAATAGTGGATCTGTATGTTTTCTCAGGGTTTCACTGAACAGGCATAATCACACATGTATTAAGATTAAACAAACCTGTCATAAAGGCCAAAACTATTATAACTTCACTAATCTAATTAAAAATAAAACAAGATGGTGATTAGGTCAAGGTCACAATTGAACCCGAATCAGTTGATCAGTGGGTTAATTATGATATTAGCTCAGATCATCAATTTATTAAATCATTAGGTTAATCCAGCAGATAATCGAATCACAGGTTGACACAAGAATGAATTGCTTTTCATTAATCCTGCTTCAGGAAATTGTAGCAGGTAGCTATTCAGCTTTAATTTAAGGGCTGTCTCCCCGCCTCAACCAAGAGAGTTTGTCTCAACAGCAAAATCAATTTAGCTGGTATAGGACTTGACCATCCATTTCAGTTTTTGACCATGAGTAAGGAAGATTGCTCAGAGCAGTAAACTTCACTTGGGTAGTCTTAAGGAAGTAGAGAAACTATAATGATCTCTTTATTCACCACCTCAAAGTTACACCACAGTTTCTTCTTAAATTTTACTGTTGTGGTAGTTAATATTCTCCCCTGCTTATTCCCCAACATAGAGCATGTGAGTTTACCAGATGATCTCAGGATGCAGGTCATTACCAAGCAATTCATACTGCTCATAATAGACAACCTCAAATAATGTCTCCTGTGAGCAGGGCCACCCTGTCCTATCCTGTGAAACCTGCGCCTGCAGGGGGTCCTGCAGCCAAGGGGCCCCCTACATCCAGCTGCTCGCCATCCCCCACCCCGCCCCCTGCCACTGATGCTGCCGGTTTCACTTCCAACTGCTCGCTACCCCTTTCCTCCACCGCCACCGCCGGCTTTTCCGTGTCGGGGGGGGGGGGGGGGG